AATACATCCAAATTTGTTTTTGTTTAAGTTCTCGGCTACTGATGTGGAAATGGCAGAGACATAGTCGTGTCTCAGCTCCTTATTCTGGAGATCAATGATGTGCATAGTTATAAAATTTAATTGTTTAAAATAGGTAGATAGTTTTAGCTTGTTTTTCTTATTTACATTTCTCTTTATTTGCTATTTATATTCTTAATAGTTATTTGTTAATCATTATATGCAAGATTAAATACTATTTTTTGATATTCCAAAGAATATTTCACCTAATAGTGAATAATGGAACCCGCTCATACTGATACTTATCCAGTACTAAAATCTTAAATTATTATACACGAAAATCTAAATGATTCAAAAAAGAGCTGATAGGAGTAGGAATTCTTTAACAGGGACCAGAAGGATCTATGAAAGATGTTGATTACTTATTGAAAAGGAAATTTTCTAAAGAAGGAGGGGAGAGATTTACAGCCTATTTTTTAGCCTTGGCGTAGCTCCATTCAACAAGCTGGCGAAGGCTTTTGATAATTCTTTGCTGATCAGGCAGCTCATTAATATCCAGACCGCAAAATGTACTTCCGTTTGACTTTGCATGTAACACCAGGTAATAAATCCCCCCAATTAAAAGAGCCTGAATAGCTCTTATATCTACATCAGTCCCTCCGAAATGCGGATCGGTAAGTTTAAAAAGTTCATTGCCTAAAATCTCTCTTGCATCAGCTATTTCCCGCATCAGTGCATTCTTTTCACTGATTTCCCAAAGAATAACTTTCTGCATTTCTTCGGCATCAAGGAAAAAGTTAAACTGGTCCACTAATATCTGACTGGCAAGCTCCTGACCAAAATTGCCTTGATTGGCTTCAATTAGCCCTTGTATACCTTCAGAAAACGCACTCCAATAATCCTTCTGCCGTACATAAGTTTCTACAAGCTTGTCAACATTCCCGAAATACAGATAGATAAGTTTCTTGTCAGCTTTGGCTTTAGCGGCAATATTATTCACCCCCAAACCCTTGTAGCCTTCAGTCTTTATAATTTCACCAACGGCATTCAGTAATTTCAGTCTGGTTTTTTCTTTATTTCTTATCGGTCCTTCGGTAACTTTTCTGACCATCTTATACACTTTGTCCTACAATATCAAGTTTTTGATTTACAAATTCAAACGCACTCAGGGCTTTATCTAATTGTTCCCTCGTGTGGGTCGCCATTAAACTCATTCGTATCCGGGCATCTTTTTTTGCTACAGCAGGATATAATATTGGATTTGTATAGATACCAGCCTTCAGTAATAACTTTCCAGCATCACCAGTTTTATGAGGATCACCGATTTTAACAGGAACTATAGCAGATGCAGTTGTCCCTGTATCTATCCCAATATCCTGAAGCCCTTTCTTGAAATAATTGATATTTTCCCATAGCTTTAACTGCCATTGCGGTTCCTCATCAATTAATTCAATCGCTTTAATGATACCCGCTGCTGCAGGTGTGCTGGTGGCTGAGAAAATCTGCTGCCTGGACTGAAATTTAAGAAAGTTGATCAGGTCAGGATTTGCGATCACATAACCGCCAATATTTGCAAATGTTTTGCTGAAAGTTCCGGAAATAATATCGACCTCATGCAATAGATCATGCTGCTCCAAAGCCCCTCTTCCGGTTTCGCCGAGCACTCCGATTCCATGGGCATCATCTACCATTACATAAGCACCATACTGCCTGGCCAATCCGATAATTTCCCTTAAAGGTGCAAGATCACCATCCTGAGAATAAACACCGTCAACAATTACCAATTTAGTTCTGTACTGAGATCTGGCAGCTTTTAAAATTCGTTCCAGAGACTCCATATGGTTATGAAGAAATGTTTTTGTATTCGTTAATATGCAGCCCTCATAAATACTGGAATGCACAGCCATATCAACTATCGCCAAATCCTCTTTCTGGAGCAGGCTCATTAAAGTAGCACTGTTTGCTGTATAACCTGTGGTATAAATTACTGATGAATCTTTGCTGCGCTTAAAAAAAGAAGCAATTTTCTCTTCTAAAATTTCATGGTAAGAAAAATGCCCACCAATTAATGGCGATGCCCCCGCACCAGTACCGAAGTCTGATATTCCCTGTATAGCGGCGGCTTTTACTTTTGGATGCTGCGTAAATCCCAGGTAATCATTAGAAACAAAGCTCACATAATCAAAGCCATTTTCATGTATTGAAGTTTTTACACGCATTTCCGGCCCGCAGCCTGAGAAATTCTGAAGACGGTAATTCATGTGACCGTTATCTTTCATATATTGAAGGAAATCGCCGAAAACAGCGGCTCTATCATACATATCATGACCTTCAATGTTCTCGAAATTTTTAAAAGTAGCGGTAGTGAAATCCATTTTCATGGCTATTTAAGATTGAGAGATGAGCGAAAATAATTTAATACAATGCTAGTTAACGTTATTTAACTTTGCAAATAAATTTCACACTATGTTGAATGATGATGATTTGTCTATATTTACGGCGTGAAAAAGGCATGTTTATACGTACTATTTCCAATTCTTTTTCTGAATACCTCTTTCTCCGAAGTATTCAAACTGCCTCATCTTGTCTTACATTTTCAACAGCACCACCAACAAAACAGTCAGGTTGGGATTATCGATTTCTTATCCATGCATTATTTTGGGGAAGACTTAAATGATAATGATGATGAAGAGGATATGAAACTGCCATTTTAAAAAGATCAGCAGCCAGGGGCATATTTCCCAGGCAATTTTTTTTTTCAAAAACTATTCAGTTTAAACAACATTATATCTTTTTGCTGGATGCCTGTATTAAACCCGGGCAACACTGGCTGTGCAATCCTGCACTGGATAATTTATTCAGGCCTCCCAGAGTATAAGTACTTCTTTTTAAAATTCCGCAGAAGCCATTAACCGGCTTTAATTAGTGTGTTATAGCAAACATGTCGCTATAGCATTGACGTATTCCTGTTTTTTAAAATAATTAGAAATTATGCTTAACCTGATTATTAGCTTTTCTATAAAGAATAAGCTGATCATTGGTCTTTTTGTACTCGCGCTAATTGGCTGGGGTACTTATGAGGTCACCAAATTACCTATAGATGCACTTCCCGATATTACAGACAACCAGGTCCAGGTGATTACCGTATCACCCTCTCTTGGTGCACCGGATATCGAAAGATTAATTACATTTCCTATTGAACAAGCCTGCAGCAGTATCTCTGGTCTTAAACAAATCAGAAGTTTTTCCCGTTTTGGGCTTTCCCTGGTTACTATTGTATTCGATGAACAGACCGATGTTTACTGGGCAAGGCAACAAATCAGTGAGAAATTACAACAAGTTCAACAAGAGATCCCTGCCGGTGCAGGATCTCCTCAAATGGCTCCTGTCTCAACCGGACTGGGCGAAATTTATCAATATGTGGTCAGACCACTCAAAGGGTATGAAGCGCAGTACGATGCTACAGAACTCCGGACCATTCAAGACTGGATTGTACGCCGCCAGCTTTTAGGAACACCCGGTATCGCGGAAGTTTCCAGTTTCGGTGGTAAACTCAAACAATATGAAATTGCTGTGCGTCAGGAACAATTAAAAGCCCATAATCTTACCATAGCTGATGTATTTGAAGCGCTGGAAAGAAACAATGAAAATACCGGTGGCGCTTATATTGAAAAAGGTCCTACCGTGTTATACATCAGAAGTGAAGGATTAACCGCCACAACGCAGGATATTCAGCAGATTGTAGTCAAAACATTAGAGAATGGTACCCCTTTATTGATGAAAGATGTTGCCACCGTTCAATACGGAGCTGCAATCAGGTACGGCGCAATGACCTATAATGATCAGGGCGAGGTTGCCGGTGCCGTGGTCATGATGCTGAAAGGAGAAAATTCTTCAGTAGTTGTTAAAAGAGTTAAAGATAAGATTGCTGAAATACAGAAAATGCTGCCAAAAGGAGTAGTTATTGAACCTTTTCTGGATCGGACCAAGATGGTGGATAACGCTATTCATACCGTAGAAACCAACTTATTAGAAGGTGCATTGATTGTTATTTTTGTGCTCGTATTCTTTTTAGGTAACCTCAGAGCAGGGCTTATTGTATCGTCAGTTATTCCGCTTTCGATGTTATTTGCAATTATTCTGATGAATAAATTTGGCGTTGGCGGCAACCTGATGTCATTGGGAGCCATCGATTTCGGACTGATTGTAGATGGTTCTGTTATCGTTGTAGAAGCAATATTACACCGTTTTTCGCATTCCAAACAATTCAGAAAAGCAGGACATATCAATCAGGATGAGATGGATAAAGAAGTCGGTAAATCTACTGGCTCCATGATTAAATCGGCCGTTTTCAGCCAGATCATTATTCTGATTGTTTATTTACCAATTCTATCTCTCGAAGGCATTGAAGGAAAGATGTTTAAACCGATGGCATTTACGATTGCATTTGCCATTCTTGGTGCATTTATATTATCCATTACTTACGTTCCGATGATGTCGGCCCTATGCCTCAGTAAAAATCTGAAGCATGAAAAAAATATGACTGACAGGTTGATGGCATGGTTGGAAAGAAGATATCAGCCCATACTCAGTAAAGTATTACATTTTCCCAAAACGATCATTCTGGTTACCCTTTCACTATTTGTGGTCGCATTATTTATACTTACCCGGTTGGGCGGAGAATTTATTCCCCAGCTGGAAGAAGGTGATTTTGCCGTTGAAACCAGGCTATTGACAGGTAGCAACTTAAACAACACGATTGAAACAACGCAGAAGGCTTCTAAAATTCTCCTGAAAGAATTTCCTGAAGTCCAGAAGATCGTCACCAAGATTGGAAGTGCCGAAATCCCTACAGATCCGATGCCTTTTGAAGCAGGTGATATGATGGTTATTCTTAAAGATAAAAAGGAGTGGACTTCGGCTAAATCATTTCCGGAATTAAGTGCGAAAATGACCAGGGCACTTGAAGTTGTTCCAGGTATTACAGTTGGATTCCAATTCCCTGTTCAGATGCGTTTTAATGAATTGATGACAGGAGCAAGGCAAGATGTGGTCTGCAAGATTTTTGGAGAAGATCTGGATTCTCTGACGAATTACGCACATCGCTTAACCGGAATCATTCAAACCGTCAAAGGAGCTATTAATATTTATGAAGAAAAAGTAAATGGGATGCCACAGGTTGTGGTAAAATACAACAGAGAAGGCATGGCTAAATATGGCTTGAATGTGAGTGATGTAAATCGCGTCGTGAATACAGCTTTTGCCGGGCAGGTAGCCGGACAGGTTTATGAAGGAGAAAAGCGATTTGACATGGTGGTCAGATTAGACGGTGGGGCACGCAAGAATATTGCTGACATCCGTAACCTGATGATTTCCGCAAAAACCGGTGGTCAGATTCCATTAGCACTGGTTGCTTCAGTAGAAGAAGTAGAAGGAGTGAACCAGATTCAGCGGGAAGACACCAAACGCAGGATTATTATTGGTTTTAATATCAAAGACAGAGATGTACAATCTATCGTAGAAGAATTACAGCAGAAAGTTGGAAAAGAACTCCATCTGAATAAAAGCTATACCATACAATACGGAGGTTCTTTTGAGAATATGACCGCTGCCAAAGCAAGGTTAAGTATTGTAGTACCAATTGCTACTTTTACTGATATTTTTGCTATTGTACTTCGCTTTTAGTTCAGTAAACAAGGACTGCTTATTTATACCGCAATCCCATTATCAGCAATTGGTGGTGTTCTGGCATTGTGGATGAGGGATCTTCCTTTTAGTATTTCTGCCGGAGTGGGTTTTATCGCTTTATTCGGAGTTGCTGTTTTAAACGGGATCCTTTTAGTAACTGAATTTAACCGGTTGAAAAAAGAAGGCTGGACAGATGTTAAACGTATTGTGATCCATGCTACCAAATCCAAGCTCAGAGCTGTCCTGATGACCGCTTTAGTCCCTTCTCTTGGATTTATTCCGATGGCCATCAGTACTGGTGCTGGTGGTGCTGTACAGAAACCACTGGCTACAGTTGTTATCGGTGGTTTAATGGTCTCTACCTTACTTACCCTATTCGTTTTACCTATGCTTTATATACTTTTTGAAAAAGGATTCAGATATTTCAGGCCACAGAAAGCAATAGCTGCCCTGGTTATTTTATGCGCAATCAGCTTTCATGCAACCGCTCAGGAAAAAATACATTTGCCAGCGGCGATAGACAGCGCATTAAAAAATAACCATGCTTTGCGTGTTTCGGCACTGGAAACCACTTATCACCGTGAATTGAAGAAAAGCAGCTTTGATGTTCAAAAAGCAAATGCAGGGTTTGAATTTGGTCAGTATAACAGCTTAAACACTGATAACAGGTTTTCGATTTCGCAAAGTATCGATTTCCCTGCTGTATATACCAGGCAGTCGGCTATTTACAAAACAAATATCCTGATTAGTGAAACTGGACAGCTAGAACAGCAGCTGGCGCTTAAAACAAGAGTTAAGTCTACCTATTATGGATTGCTGGTTTTGGAAAATAAGCGCAGGCTATTGCTACAAGCTGACAGCATTTATGGTAACTTTCTGAAGAAAGCTGAACAACGTTTTAACTCAGGAGATGTAGACGCACTAGAACTCGTCACTGCCAGAAATCAGCGTTTACAAATCTCTAACCAGCTGGAAATTCTAAAAACAGACTATCAAGTGTTATTGAATCGCTTTAACGTGTTGCTCAATAGCCGGCAGAAACTGGTTCCTGAAACAGATAGCGTGTTATACAAACTTTCTTCTTTGCCACAAGCAGATAAAATAGCAGCTAATCCTTCGTTAAAATTACAACAACAACAAATCCTGCTCTCTCAACAGCAGTACAAATTAGAAAAAAGCAAGCTCATGCCTTCCTTGAATCTTGGTTACAGTAATACCAGTATTGCAGGCTTGCAGACTACAGCTTCGGGCGCTGATTTATACTTTGATAAAAGTAAACGTTTCTCTTCTGTAAATGTCGGTGTTGGAATCCCACTGTTCTTTGGTGCACAGCGTTCCAGGATCAAAGCCTCGAACGTATTAATCAGGCAGCGTGAACAGGAGTTTTCTGTGATTGAACAGGAGTTGACTAACAGGATGGAAGATGCCTTGAAAATCTATGCACAGCACAGCAGGCTGGTAACTTCTTATCAAAACTCAATTCTGCCGAATGCATCCAGGATCATTACCATTACTACCGATAAATTAAATGCAGGAGAAATCGGTTATCTGGATTGGGTAATCCTGATCAATCAATCTATTCAGCTCCGTAGTGAATATTTCAATACCGTTCAACAACTGAATGAAGCGGCTTTTGAAATAGAAAAAATAAGTGCTATTAACTAAGTTTTAACAAAATATACAGATGAAACCATCAATCAAAAAGATGAAAAAAATAATTCAATTCGCATCCTTTCTGCTTGTTTTATGCGCATCCTGCAGCAATCAGCAGCAAGATGAAAAAACTGCCGTAAAGGAAGAAAAACCTCAAACAAAGGTTGATGAAGACGTAGTTCAGCTGTTGCCAGCGCAGATCAAAAACTCAGGAGTGGAAACCGGGCCTTTTGAAAAAAGGGAAATGCACACAGCCTTGAAAGTAAACGGTGTGGTTGACGTACCACCAGAAAATATGATATCAATCAGTATCCCATTAGGCGGATATGTTAAAAAGATGAGGCTGATCCCAGGAATGCGGGTGGCTAAAGGAAGCATATTAGCTACTATAGAAGATCAGCAATACATCCAGTTACAACAAGACTACCTGACAGCAAAGAGTAAATTGAAATTTGCAGAAGCAGATTATATCCGTCAAAAAGGTTTAAACGCAACAAAGGCAACAAGTGATAAGCTTTTCCAGCAAGCAGAAAGTGAATTTAGCAGTCAGAAAATCCTGGCACGTTCACTGGCCGAAAAGATCAGGTTAATCGGTCTGAACCCAAATACCTTAAATGAGAATAATATCTCAAGAGCGATTAATATCTATGCCCCTATAAGTGGCTATATCACTAAAGTGAACGTGAATACCGGGAAGTATGTTACGTCTTCAGATGTTTTGTTCGAACTCATTAATCCAGGTGCTTTACATGTGAACCTGACTGTTTTTGAAAACGATGCTTCCAAATTAAAAGAAGGGCAAAGAATCATTTGTACAACCAATAAACATCCGGAGAAGAAATACCTGGCTGTAATTCATTTGATTACACCAAACATAGGTGAAGACCGTACAACCAGCGTACATTGTGATTTGAAAGATGCGGACGAAGATTTATTGCCCGGTACTTTTATGAATGCAACTATTGAATTAAACAATAGCAGTGTTACTGCAGTTCCTGAAAGCGCAGTGGTGAAGTGGGAAAATAAAGAATATGTTTTTTCTGCAGAAGGAGGAAATAAATTCAGAATGCGGAAGGTAGAAACCGGAGTGAGTAACAATGGATTTGTAGAGATTAAATCACCACTGGATGTGAAATCAATTGTAGTCAAAAATGCTTACGCGATTTTAATGAAAATGAAGAATAGCGAAGAGGAAGGATAAATAATTAATTTCCTGTTATATTTACGACGAAGGTTGCCTTAAATGGGTGACCTTTGTCGTCAATATAACCTCGCAGCCTGAATGAGTGCCCTTAAACAAATACTGTCAAAGAAAACTGATAAAGAATTATTGTTTTATATCAATAATATTGAGTGTAGTAACCCTGGTTATGTATGAATTATTTTGGAACAGTGAACTTGAAAGGAACTTTAAATACAGAGCTAAACCAATCTTGATTCCATTAATTACAGGCATTATTATCGCTATTTTTGTAGTTATACGAATTGTTATATTGAAAAATAAATAACACATCATTGAGTAAACTAAAAACATATTTCAACTGGAGTACAGGCAAAGATTCTGCTCTTGCTTTGCACTATCTGATGCAGGATAAAAACTACAGCATAGAACATCTGCTTACCTCAGTTAACCAACAACATAACCGGGTCAGCATGCATGGCTTACGCAGGGAATTATATCAATTGCAAATTGATGCATTAAACCTTCCATACAGTACTATAGAATTGCCCGAACAGCCCTCCATGCAAGAATATGAAATGCTAATGGAAAAGGAAGTTTCCACTTTACAACAACAAGGATTTACGCATGCTGCTTTCGGTGATATTTTTTTAGAAGACCTCTAGCGTCGGCGCAAAACAAAAACTTGGCTTATGCCGTTTTGTCCATGCCAAACAAATCTAGGGTATTCTTCCATGCAGCTTCGCAAACTTCCTTTAGTGGGGCCCCCTTGACTGCCGCAACGATGTATGCCACGTGCGGGATATTGCAAGGCTCGTTTCG